GAAGGAAGGAAGGAAGGAAGGAAGGAAGGAAGGAAGGAAGGAAGGGGTTGTTCAGTTTCTTCTTAAGAACCTCCAGTGATGGAGAAGGAAAGGAGGAAGAAAGGCAGGCAGGCATAACAGAGTTGGAAGGGACCTTAGAGGTCTTCTAGTCCAACACCCTTCTCAAGTAGGAGACCCTGTACCATTTCAAACAGGTGGCTTTCCAGTCTCTTCTTAAAAGCCTCCAGTGATGGAGAAGGAAGGAAGGAAAAGAAAGGAAAGAAGGAAGGAAGCAAGGTAGCAAGGAAGGAAGGAAAGCATAACAAATAACAGAGTTGGAAGGGACCTTAAAGGTTTTCTAGTCCAGCCCTTTGCTCTAGCAGGAGACCTTATGCCATTTCAGACAAGGGGCTGTCCAGTCTCTTCTTAAAAATCTCCAGTGAACTTCTGGTGGCAGGCTGTTCCACTGGTTAATTGTCCCCCGTCAGGAAGTTCTCTCCTTGATTAATTTCGATCACGGAGTTGCTGCAAAGGTTCTAACTGTGAAAAGAGGCCCCAAGTCTTCCCCCACCCAGTCCCATTGTGATTTTGAACGGTCACTAAATGAATGGTTGTAAGTCGAGGACTACCTATAGGCCGATCAAATAAGGGAATGGCTGTTCATACCTTCTCAAGATCCCGGGAATGACATTGTGCAAAAATTGTGCAAAAAAATGTGTAAATTTTTGTCATCCAGGAGGGTGTTCAGAGTATTCAGCACCAGAAAAGTAAACACAGATGGCTGAGGCTTCCGTTAACTTCTTTATAAACATGTAAAGTAAATTTTATGATACCAGTTGTAGATTTTCTCCAACGTGGAGCAAACTCAACCAGAAGTAGACATGTTACAGGTTCTGAGCAGAACTCTGGTTTTCTGCAAGCAAGTTAGTTTCTCTTTCACTTTAGAGCTGAGCACAGAACAGAGATAAACCACGCCTCTTTTAAGTTTCAGCCCTCAACTCAGCTCTCATTGGCTGACCTTGTTACTAAGTTCATGAATATACTCTATTAGAGGGCAGGTCCTTGCTTTTATTTTCTGTGTAACTGAGCGTTCGGTGTTTTTCCCGTAGCTTTGTGCTTAGATCCTGGCCTGACAAACTGTGCGTCACACATTGCGACCGTCACTATCAACGGAGACCTCCCTGTTAATCTGAAGCCGAAACAAAAACCCGGTGAGTCTTTTGTTAACTTTCCTTTCCTTTTGGATTCTCCCAAGTGAAAGGTTCCTTTGGAGAGAGAGGTTTCGGAAGTGGAGTAGAGCTGGAAGGGACCTTGGAGGTCTTCTAGTCCAACCCCCTGCTCAAGCAGGAGGCCCTATACCATTTGGGACAAGGGTCTGCCGTTGTACAAATATACACAGAGTTTCAGATCCACTAGAGAACTTATTTTTTTGTGACATTTGTGTTCTATTTTCTCCCCTACAGAGGAAGGAGGTACGTTACCTGGTTTATGTTCCTTTTTGGCTGGGAACTGAGATGGATCTTCTCAACTTCCTTCAAAGTTCCAGTGTCTGGTTTGAAATTTGCTCGTCTTTTGCATTCATTGATATCCTTCATCATTAGAAATTGTGTATTTTTTGAGGTCTTCCTGCACATTGGTCTTTTGTTAGTGCATTCATTGATATAGAATAGGAATAGGAATAGGATAGGATGGGATAGGATAGGATGGAATGCAATAGGAATAGGAATAGGAATAGAATAGAATAGAATAGAATTCTTTATTGGCCAAATGTGATTGGACACACAAGGAATTTGTCTTAGTGCAAATGCTCTCAGTGTACATAAAAGAAAAGATACATGCATCAAGAATCATCAGGTGCAACACTTAGTGATAATCATAGGGTACAATGAGCAATCAAATCATATGAGGGAAACATACTATCCTTCATCATCAGAAATTGTGCATTTGTTGAGGTCGCCCTGCGCATTGATTGGTGTTTTGTTAGTGCATTCATTGATATCCTTCACCATCAGAAATTGTGTATTTTTTGAGGTTGTCCTGTGCATTGGTCTTTCGTTAGTAACTGGATAATGCATGACATGAACAGGTAGTTGTTGACTTACAACGTTCATTTAGTGACTATCTGAAGTCACAACAGCACTGAAAAAAGCAAGTTATGGCCCTTTTTCACACTTATGACTGTTGCAGCATCCTCCCAGGGTCATGTGATCAAAATTCAGAGGCTTGGCAGCTGACTCATATTTGTGACGGTCGCAGTGTCCCGGGTTCACGTGGTCCCCTTTTGCGACCTTCAGACAAGCAAAGTGCATGGGAAAGCCATTCGCTTAACAACCATGTGATTCACTTAACAACTGCAGGGATTCACTTAAAAACGAGGACAAAAAAGGTCGCACAACAGGCCAAAGCTAACCGCTGCCTTGCTTAGCAACAGAAATGTTGGACTCAATTGTAGTCATAAGTTAAGGACTACCTGTATACAGGGATCAGGGGAATAGAATAAAATTGTTTCCGACTTAGAAACCTGGTTCTTTCTGGTTTGGGGGCGGGATCCAGATTCCTGCAAATCTTTTTGCCTTGGTAATGAAAGCTTTGCAGGAAAACCACCCAGCTCAGAGCGCAGGAAGGACGCCCCCCGTTCCACCCCAACCTATAGATATTCTCATTTATTCATAAAGGGCGACCAGAAGTGAGGGCATTTGGCATCCTTCTCGAGGCTAAAATGGGTGAAAGTGACATTTTATAATAAAAAATAAGAATGAAAACTGATGGATGATGGTGCCAACTCTGTAACATCCGTGGTTTGTTTTTCCCTCTTTTCAGAGTTTGTGGAAGTTGTCACGCTGCCAAAGAATGATTTAATGCAGAGAATTGAAGGTAAGGGAGTATGGAAAGTTTGAGATGGAGAACAGGAGCTTCCTTGCGAGGGTCAGCCTGGAGAGATGTCTGAAATGCTATGGGGTCTCCTGCTGGGACAGTGGGTTGGACTAGAAGACCTCCAAGATCCCTTCCAACTTTGTTACTGTCATGCTGTTATGCTGTTTTCTTCCTTCCTTCATTTCCCTTCCCTTCCATCTTTCCTCTCTCATTTTCCATTTCCTTCTTTCCTTCCCTCCCTCATTTTCCATTTCCTTCCTTCCATCCATCCTTACTCTCTTTCTCATTCTCCTTCCTGTGGCACAGTGCTACAATGCAGTATTGCAGGCTAATTCTGCCGACTGCCAGGAGCTCGATCCTGACTGGCTCATGGTCAACTCGGCTGTCCGAGGTGGGTAAAATGAGGACCCCAGATTGTTGGGGAGCAACAGGCTGACTCTGTAAACTGCTCAGAGAGGGCTGGAAAAGCACCATGAAGCGATAGATAAGTCTAAGTGCTTTTGCTAGATTTGAGCAATAATTTGGATAGTAACTCGATGGAAAAGGCAATTTATCGGGGTTGGCTCCATTCTGCCCAATTTCTTTTCTAGCCCTAAAGCATGATTATAACATCATTTTTATTACTGCAATAATGCTTAAGTTAAAGAGTGGGTTGCACAGATGGGCTCCCCCAAGAGCCTCCTTTTCAGCGGTGGTTACATTATCCAGTCAAGTCATTTCTAGATTAAACTCACGGTTTTGCCAGGATTATAGGGCCCACCTCTCCCTAAATGGGAGCGAAACCAAATTTGAAGCACCGCTGTTTTGGTTTGAATGAAACTCTCTTTGCCCAACTTTTGGCAAATGGCTTTTGGACCAGTTCTAACTGCTTCTGGTACAGGTGGCTCTTCACTTACAACCCTTCCTTTAGGTACCATTCCATTTTACAACGGCACTGAGTGAAACTATTGTAAAGTCAGGGACCACCTGTTATTACGGGAAACTGCCCTCCGTGGCCTTCGGAATGGAAGGCAGCTCTTCGATGTCTTTTGTCTCGTGCAGGGGCTGGCAATGCTCAAAAGAGCCATTTGGAGACGTTTCCCACAAAAAAACACCAGGAGCCACAAAACCTGCTGGCAGTTACTCCCATTTAAATCATGAGTCTCTAGCCGAAATTCCAAAACTTAAAGATTTATTAGGAGTAAACATGACAGTGCTGCCTGGGTGTAAGCCGACTCTTAATACGCGTCATTCCTGACTATTTCCTGAGCAGTCACAAAACTATGTAGTTGAATTAAACATTGTTTTCTTCTGAAACTTTTCCTGGATTTACCCATGGTTGGCCTACTGGGAGTCAAAAAGCTCAATAAAACAAATGCTGGTGGGTGTCACACACAGACTGGCAGTTGTGACGGAGCCGCAGCAGAGGGATGAAAGAGTCTAGTGTGTGTCCTTGTGTTTTTTCTGCAGAGCTGGTGGCCGAGGAGCACCTGATTGTGGATGCCAAGCTGTACGCTTACGCACTGGCCCTGAGGCACGCTTCGGACCAGCCCTTCCAGATGCCCTTCATGAAGTTCTAGAAGTCCCCGTCCTAGAACACCCAAGACCGAGAATTTGCCTCCGAATAATGCAACTGAGCTGTTTCCTGCACACACACACACACACACATAAAATATTTTAAATTCAAGTTCACTGGAATCGGCGGTGGAACAATAAAAGAGTTGTATTGCTGTTTTCTGGTCTATATAGTTCTTGAACTGCTGGGTTGTTGCACTGAGTAGTTGGCAGCCAGTGGCTCACTGGCTAACACGCTGAGCTTGTCGATCAGTTTGGGGGTTCGAATCCCTAGCACCGCATAATGGAGTGAGCTTCCGTTACTTGTCCCAGCTTCTGCCAACCTAGCAGTTCAAAAGCATGTCAAAAATGCAAGTAGAAAAATAGGGACCACTTTGGTGGGAAGGGAACAGCGTTCCGTGCGCCTTTGGTATTTAGTCCTGCCGGCCATATGACCACGAAGACGGCTTTGGACAATGCTGGCTCTTCAGCTTTGTAACAGAGATGAACACCGCACCCTAGAGCCAGAAACAACTAGCACGGATGTGCAAGGAGGGGAACCTGTACTTTTACCTAGTTAGCAGCCAAGACTGTGGGTTGGGTCTTGACTTGCCTTGGGCTTGGCCAACTCTTTTATCATCAAAAGGGAAGCTCTTGGGACTTCATGTTTGTCTCATTCCTGGATTGCACAGGGAAGAGTTCCCATCTTCCTTGCCTTGCTTGTAAATGGTTGGTGGACCAACAGGCAGAACTTGTAGAGTTCTTGAGAGCCACCAGTCACCTGAGGCTGCCCGTAATCTTCTCCCTGCCTCTAGCAAGGAATTCTGGGAGTTGTAGTCCACAAGTCTTCTAGGTTGCCAATTTGGAGAAACCCTGGTGTGGTGGGTGATAGGTTGGTTGGTCTCTAAGGCTGAGGAGACTGTGGTTCTTCTTCAGCTGTGGAAGATCTTTGGAGGCCTTGGAGAGTCCCTTTCCCAGCCCAGCCTACATCACAGGATTGCTTTGAGGAAAACTGGGAGGATGGGCCCTGTGGATAGGTAATCTTCTACTTACAACCACAATGGAGCCCAACATTTCTGTTGCTAAGTGAGAAAGTTGACTTCAATCTCATTTTATGACCTTTTTTGCCAGTTAAGTGAATCACTGCAGTTAATTACATGGTTGTTAAGCAAATCTGGTGCCCCCATTGATTTTGTCAGGTCGCAAAAGGAGAACATGTGAGCCCCTCTGGGACACTGTAACCATTGTAAATATGAGTCAGTTGTCAAGCCTCCACATTCTGATCACGTTGACTGCAGTTGTTAAGACAGCACGTAAAAACCAATTGTGAGTTACTTTCTTTTTCCAGTGCCATTGTAACTTTGGTCACTTAAGTCGAGGACTCTGTACACACCCCTTTTTTACTTCAAGGAGTTACAGAGAAGCCGTCTTATGAAGAAGCAGAAAAAACAGCAAGGATGAGCTTTTAATTAAATAACTTTTAATGTCTGATGTTTTTACACCGGCTACGATGCTGCTAAGAAGCACGACAAAGGCTCGGTGTCCGGTCAACACAAGCCCCTCAAAGACCAACAACTTTTCTCAGCTGTGGGTTGGTTTTTGTTTTAATTGACTTTGGAACAAAGAGACACCAGGGTGACATTTCAAGCAACTTAGGGTCTCTCTTCCCTCCTTGGCCCCCAGTCAGAAAGGCCCAGGCTCACAACGTCGACACAATCTCCCACCCTCGGAGTCAATTTCAGAATCAGGTTGGGTGGGTTGAGATGTCTGCTCCAAAGAGGGGCTTCAATTGCAAGGGAGGGGTGGGTGGGTTGTATTTTTCCTTTGAGTGTGTGTGTGTGTGTGTGTGTGTATAAAAGCAATTTGTGATAAAATATAGATTTCAAGGAAGGAAAAGGAATCTTTTTTTTTTTTTTTGAAACAAGCTCAAAGCCGTTCGGAGCAAGCCGGAACTCTTTGCAATGGGCAACAAGACAGGTGTAGATTGGTTTGCACGCCCACCGAGTGTGCACATGTGCAATGCAATGGCCACCCACCAATCTTCCCTCAAGGGTTGTTTTCCAACATTACAGGCCACGAGAGAGAAAAAGGGAGGGAGGGAGGGAGAGAGAGAGAGAGAGAGAGAAATGTTTGGATTATTATTAGTATATATTTTTAAACCAAGACAATGTAAACGTTGATTCTTTTAAGGCAGCCAGCTCTGAAGCTGTGCGCAAGCCCATTGATGAACAAATGGGGCGACTCATTTTGAAAAGAAGGGAGAACAAAAAAAAATAAATTAAAATGGCATTATTGAATTCAGATGAGGTCAAAGGACGTTTCCCTCCTTTTGTCACAAGCCAGGAGAATGCTGGCCTGTTTAGAAAAACAAAGCCCCCATGCCTCCAACTTCGGCCTGTTCTTTGACAAAGATCTCAAAATATTGATAAATGATTGTGACTGCCAGCAGAATCCCAGTGCCGGAGCCGATGGCTCCCAGGAAATCAGCCAGGACCGAGAGCGCCCCGATACACAAGCCTCCGAAGGCAGCTGCTGTCGGGATGTACCTAAATGGAAAAGAGGAATGAAACGCCTTTTAATTCAAAACTGCTCCCTTTTCAGTCGTTCTGCCTGCAGTTCCTGACGTTTTGTTCAGCAGGGAGAGTGAAATCTAGGTTAGTGAAGCAAGTTGCATTGTCGCCACATGTGCCTGAAAGTTCCACATTTCCTAAAGTTGTTCTATTTATTTTTATCTTTTTATAACCGCCTTTAAGGCTTGCCCTTGACTTACGACCACAATTGAGCCCCAAATTTCTGTGGCTAAGCGAGGAAAAGGAGGGGCAGGAGAAGGATGGTGGGTTCCTTAGGGCCTCCCTCCGAGGTTACTCGTTTTCTTGCAGACATTTAATTATCAAACTAGGTAACATCATCAGTGCTAGAAGGGAGAGGAGGAGGAGGTGGAGGAAAAAGACTATGGGGTCCTTGATGCTCTCTGTGCTTGGCTGTTTTCTTGCAGACATTTAATTACTCAACTAGATAACATCATCAGTGCTAGAAGGGAGTAGGGTTTGCGAGGTGGTGGTGGTGGTGAAGGAGGAGGAGGGGGAGGGGGAGGGGGAGGAGGAAGAAGTCTATGGGGTCCTTGGTATTCTCTCAGCTGGTTTGCTTTCTTGCAGACGTTTTATCACTAGCACTGATGTTGTTGCCTAGTTGGGTAATCAAACATCTGCAAGAAAACCACCCAGCTCAGAGGGCGGACCAAGGACCCCTCCTCTAGAGGACCTATTTGGGGGTCTCCTTACCGGTTTAATTCGTGAACCATGGATGTGTCTCGGTGCCCTCTCATTACCATCTGCTGCTCTTTCAGCTGCTTGGCGACCTGCAGAAACACCCAGGTGTCAGAAGGGACGATGCCAGGCGTGGCTTCCTCGAGGGAGAACCCGGGGAGCAGGTGTCGTGGAGTGGGGGTGAGATGTAGGAAGAGGGAGGGAGAGAAATCCACCTACGTCTTTGGCAGAAGATCCAGACACTTCGATCCATGTCTTGGAGAAAAAGGCACAAGAGCCCAGCATAAATATAATGTACACGACCACGTGGACCGGATCCTCAAAGATGGCCCCCATGGATTCCGGGGGGGAGAGGTAATAGCAGAGACCCCCCACCGGATAGGAGCGTGCTGGGCCGCCTCCGCTAACGTCCTGGGAAGGAAGGAAGGAGAGTGTGGAAAACATCACAAACACACACTGTCATGCCTCTGTCGGAGTCTGAATCCAAGGAAGAAGACGAACAGCTGACAAGAAGCGGGAGTGTGGCTCAGTTGGCTGTGGAGGAAACTGGGGAAGGGTAAAGTCCGGCTGGACATTCAGAGGAAGAACCAGGCCCACCCCCTCTTCATCCTAGGACACGCAGGGAGAAACAGAGAATAGAGCAATGTGGGTTGTGTGGCTTATGGGGGAGGAAAGGGCCCTGAGTCCCTTCATTAGCTGTAGCTGGGAACAGTGTTTAAAAAGGGAAGCTGCATGCAGCAGGCTGCTGGGAGCAAACATTGTTGCGGCTTATCTGTCTTCCTGGCATCTTCCCAACCATGTGAGTTTCGCCTGTTTTCAAGTCTGAAATTCTTGCTCCTGCCCTGCCAAACTAATTACCTCAGTTTGCCTTGATTGGATTTTAAGTTACAGTTTGTGTTTACCATGTTTTGGACTTGATTTTCTGCAGCCAAAGGCTGTTCCTGGGAGAATTTTTTCTCCAGCCAGAAGGTAACCTGGGCATTGGGGGCAAAGTTGGAGATAATAAAGCAACTCTTATTGCTTATCTGACTGTGTTGCCTTTGTGCCATGCCCTGAGTCATCACACACAAACACACACACCCCTCTGCAGACTGCAAAGACCATACAGTCCTTGGCTTATGACCGCAATGGAGCCCTACGTTGACGTGTTGAGTTTTTGCCCAGTTTGGCAAGCCTTTTTGCCACCGTTGTTACCGGAATTGTGCAGTCATTAAGCCAATCTGTCTTCCCCACCGTTGAGTTTGCTGGTCAGAAAGGTCGCAAAAGGGGATCTGGGACCATCGAGTCTGTTGTCCTATGATGGAATTTGAGTACGATGACCATGGGAATACTGCAATGATCGTAGGTGTGAAAAACAGTCATGGAAGCCTCCTCTTTCAGTGTCATCATAACCGTCACTAAACGAATAGCTGTAAGTTGACTTACAATAGTTCATTTAGTGGCTGTTCAAAGTTGACAGGTCTGAAAAAAGTAACGTTTTTCACACTTACGACCGTTGCAGCATCCATGTGGTCACATGATCAAAATTCAAATGCTTGGCAACTGACTCATATTTATGATGATTGCAGTGTCCCGGGGGTCACACGATCCCCTTCAACCAACTCAAAGGGAGGCATCCTGATTTGCTTAACGACCGTGAGACTCACTGGACGACTGCAGTGATTCCCTTAACAACAGTGGCAAGAAAAGCCACACAAAACTTACTGATGTCTCGCTAAGCGACAGAAGTGGGCGGAGAGCTTGATTGCGGTCGTTAGGCTGAGGGCTGAAGTCTGCCTTATAGGAAGAGCTGGCTACTCACCGCCCACTGGCCGAGTAAGTTGACCAGGAAGTTGCCACTGAAGCGCACAGACAGCATCTGGGAAATGACGTAGAGGTTGGACACTAAGGCGGACTGGAGGATGATGGGGATGTTGGAGGTATAAAAGAGCTTGATGGGGTAGCTGCTGTATTGACCCCGGTAACGTGCAGACTTGATCGGGAGATCAACTCGGAATCCCTGCGGAGAAGAAAGGAAGGAAAAAAGGATCACAACTGGAAAGAGGGATCTCTCCGTTTCGAAGCTGCAGGAATGGAGAAGGTCTTCAGGATTTTAGACCAGTGGATTTCTCCTCCTGGAGGACGGAGCCCGGAAGATCCCGCAATGAAGCTGCAAACTTTATATCAAACCCTTCCTCATGTTAAGGACTAGAAGCAGCCAGGATTAAAAATAAATCTGAAATCTGGAGTGTTTTGTCTCTTTCCCCAGCCAGCTACCCCGTTTTCCCAAAAATGCAACCTATTCTGAAAGTAAGCCCTAGCTTGATTTTTACATGTGTGCCCAATATAAGCTCTACCCCCAAAATAAGTCCTAATTAAGATCCCGCCCCCTCCAGAGTGGATGGGTAAAAATTAAGCTAGAGTGGGGATGGAGGGGGTGGAGCAGCCCTACTACTTATCTTTGGACAGCTGTAGACAGGCCTTGCACACCCCAACACCTGCCTGGCTGGCCCATTTCTTCTGAAGCCAGCAAGGCTTTCCTGAAGGCCTCTGGAGCTGAGAACAAAGCTCTGGATCAATCCAGAGCTCCGTTATTGGCCTCAGAGGCCTTGAGGAAAGCCTTGCCAGCCACAGAAGTTCCTGAAGGCCTCAAACAGCAAAAAGGAAGCCAGGGGCGATACGCGCAAGTGAGATTAGTCAGTGGATGACATCCCCCCAAAATAAGACCTGATGCCTTTTTTGGTGGGAAAAAAATACATAAGACAGGGTCTTATTTTGGGGAAAACATGGTAAAATTCTCTCTCCGTGATTCAGAGAACTCGCAATGGCACCAGACAAAATTCTGTAGAGATTTCAGCTTCTTTTGACCTAGTCCCCCCACAGGTGCGCTTACCTGAAAGTATATGACTACGGCAAACACAAAGACGGTCGCGATGAGGTTCATGAGATTTGGCAAGTTCTGGCGGTAAAAGGCTTCCCGCAGAGCGCGGACTTTGTCGGTGCGCGTGGCCAAGAGGTGGAACAAGGCAATGACGGCGCCCTCGAATTCCGTACCTGGAGGGAATCCAACAAAAAATCCGTCCCAAATCAGGTCGCAGGCATGATGACAAACTCTGGCATACGAGCACCGCAAAAAAACAGCCAAAGGGAACCCATGCAGCATTCAAGAAAGAAATGGAACAACAACAAAAGGGGGAATTACAGGCCATCCTCGACTTACAACAGCTGGCTTAGTCACCGCTTGAAGTTACGACAGCTCCAGAAAAAGGGATTTGGGACCGTTTTTCACACTGATGATGGCCAGGTGATTGATATTCAGATGCTCGGCAACTCACTTGTAGTTATGATGATCGCAGCGTCCCGCGATCCCCTTGGGCGATCTTTTGAATCGGCAAGATCATTGCGGAGGCCAGATTCGCTGAACCACCTTAACAGCTGCAGTGATTCACTTAACAGCGGTGCCCAGGTAGGTTCTAAAAACGGGGCTAAAGCTCACTTTAACCAAGGCCTCGCTCAGCGGCAATTTCGAGCTCCGTTGTGGTCGTAAGTCGAGGACTACCTGCCACAGGGTGTTGTAATTATTCAGTGAAATGGACGTGGTTAAGTTTAAAACAAATTGTGCTGAAGTCTTAAAGGAACTCTTTTATTTGAGATTCACTAAGCAAAATTTCATGCAAACCCCAAGGCTCTTTTCCTAGTGAAGAAACGAGGCTTGACATGCATGCAAATTCTTCCAAATGACGAGAGAGTACTGAGAAGCCGAAGTGGGGTATCAAGGCAGGTGTCCAGAATATTCCTTTGTGGATGCCCATTGTTGTGGCCCACCAGCAGCCAGTGGAGCTGGTGGCAGACTCGGACAGTGAAGAGGTTGGGGAGGGACATGGACCGGTCCTGGAGTCTGGGGAAGGCTCTGAAGAAGGCTCTATGTCGAAGGCAGAGATGGGGCCAGGGCCGTCTGACAGTTATCAGCTGCCTTTGCAGTTGGAGATCAGTGGGGAAGAACAGCTGGAGCCTGTTCCCAGGGTGCGCATGTGCAGAGCTGCCAGGAGAAAGGAACAGCTGAGGAACAAGGGTCGACTCTGGAGTAAAGGCCCAGGTGAACAATGAATGGTCCCTCCCAGAGGGAATAAAGAGGAGCAAAAGGGGAGTGGGGTTTGCAGGAGACAATTAGTTTGTTTAATTAGTATGAAGATTTGTTTATGACTCCTTGCCAAGTATTGTCTGCTACAGAGTGGCGTTTGGAAGCTATCATCCTGGTACCTCTCCAAGCCTGATAAAGGTCTGTGGTTGTAAATTCACCCTTGAAAGACTGTTTGCCAGAACTTTGCTGGATGTGAAGGATAGGAATTCACATTAGCCTAATAAAAAGGGGGTTTTATCAGGACGAGGAGTCTGCTTTGTGATTTCGGGAAGCTTAGGTGAGAACACCCACTTCTTCAGCATCATGAAAAGGTACCCCCTACTCTAACACCCCTCCCCCTACTCTAACGCCCCTGACATATTACTTGTGCAATGGTCTTTGGTAATATCCGAGAGAGAGAGAGAAAGAGAGAAAGAGAAAGAGAGAGAGAGAAAGAGGAGGAAGAAATGCACGCAGGCCAGTGGGCAGATAAGGGACACCTTGGCCCTCTGAAGGAACCAGGGTGTGGAAAGCACCACTGAAGGGATCTTCTCCTTGTTCCCTGGGAAGGAAAAGTGAGGGGGAAGAAGAAATGGGCTTTCAGATTACAAGGATCTCAGGTCACAAAGAGAGTAGAGAAGAGCAACCAAGATGATTAAGAGGCTAAAAAACATACAATGAACGGTTACAGGAACTGGGTATGTCTAGTTTGATGAAAAGAAGGACTGGGGTGACATGACAGCAGTGAATTTGGGGGGGGGGGGTATTGACCTTAGCTTCTCAGGGAACCCTATGTTCTGCTGGAAGTGTAGGGTTCTCTAGAACTCAGTTTATAGAGTCCCCTAGAACATAGCTTGTAGGGTCATGTAGAACAGATTGTAGGTTCTCTATACAGTTTGTAGGGTTGTCTAGAACACCATTTGTAGGGTCATCTAAAACACCGCTTGTAGGGTTCTTTATGTGCAGTTTGTAGAGTCCCTTAGAACATAGTTTGTAGGGTCATCTAGAACAGTTTGTAGAGTTGTCTAGAACACAGTTTGTAGGGTCATCTAGAACACAGTTTGTAGGGTTCTGTATGTGCAGTTTGTAGAGTCCTTTAGGACATAGTTTGTAGGGACATCTAGAATGTAAGTCTGTGGGGTCCTCTAGAATGTAAGTTTGTAGGATTCTCTAAATGCAGTTTTTAGGGTCTCCTAGAATGCAGTATGTAGGGTCCTCTAGAATGCAGTTCGGAACACTCCCCCCCGATCTAGAGCCACCTCTCGTGTCCGGTTCTAGGCTGCTCCCCGCGAGAGGCCGACAAAGCATGCAACCGATCAAGCCGAGAGGAGAAAGTACTGTACCTCTGCCCGTGTTTATGGTGGTGGGGCTAAAGGCCTTCCAAACTATGGTCTCACAGATGTTGGTGGCAATGAAGAGGGAAATGCCGGATCCCAGGCCGTAGCCCTTCTGCAGAAGCTCATCAAGCAGCAGGACTATCAAGCCAGCAACAAACAACTGTGGAGGGGGAGGGGAGGGGGGGAATTCCAAAAAGGTCCATAACTCTGTGCCCCCCTCCCCCCAAAAAAACCCCTCGCCCTTTGCCCCGGAAGTAAAACACCTTCCTTCTCCCTCCAGACTGCCACAGCCATGGCCTTCGCTTGCCCTGCCAACTTTGGGGCGGTTGGCTACTGAAGCCCTGAATTAGACGAAGGACTGAGAACAGCCAAATCTTTGACTTGCACTGAACGCAGGTAGTCCTCGACTTACGACAGTTTCACTTAGCGACTGGTCGAAGTTTTAAAATGGCCCTGAAAAAAGGGGACTTAGGACCGTTTTTCACGCTTACGACCTCTGTAGTATTCCCGTGATCACATGATTGAAATTCAGATGCCTAGGATCATTGCTACGACCGTTTCCCCAGAACTGGAGCTCAAACAAACACCAGGCACGTGTTGGGCGAAGGATGTGGCTTTGAGTTTTAGATCTGACAAAGGTGAAATAGTTACAGAAGGGAATATATTTGCAATTCAGGGTTGAATTGTGGGGTCCTTGGTGCTCTCTGAGCTGGGTTTCTTGCAGACATTTCAGGACCCAACTAGGTAACAACATTAATGCTAGAAGGGAGGAGAGGGAGGACGACTGTAGGGTCCTTGGTGCTCTCTGAGCTGGGTGCTTTTCTTTCAAACTAGGGAATGCCATCAGTGCTAGAAGGGAGGAGGTGGAGTTTGAGATCCTTGAGGCTCTCTGAGCTGGGTGGGTTTCTTGCGGACGTTTCAGGACCCAACTAGGTAACCACATCAGTGCTATAAGGGAGGAGGGGGAGGAAGAAGATGAGGAGGGGGGAAGAGGGCTCCTTGGGGCTCTCTGAGCTGGGTAGTTTTCTTGCAGACATTTCATGACCCAACAAGTTAACACCATCAGCATAGAGAGGAGGAGGAGGAGGAGGAGGAGGAGGAGGAGGAGGAGGAGGAGGAAGGCTGTGTGGTCCTTAGTGTTCTCTGAGCTGGGTGCTTTTCTTTCAGACTTTTCATGACCCAACCAGGGAATGTCATCAGTGCTAGAAGGAAGGAGGAGAAGGAGGAAGAGTTTGAAGTCCTTGGTGCTCTCTGAGCTTGGTTGTTTTCTTGCAGACGTTTCAGGTAACCTCATCAGTGCTAGAAGGGAGAGGGCTGTATGGAGGAGGAGGATTGCTGTGTCCCCAAGGTCACGTGATCCCCTTTTACGACCTTCTGACAAGTAATGGGGAAGCCAGATTCGCTTAACAACCGGGTTACTCACAAGAAAGGTCTAAAATGGGGCAAAGCACACTTGGCACATGTCTCAACAGAAATTTGGGGGGTCAATTGTGGCGCTAAGCTGAGGACTGCCTGCAATTCATGTGGCCAAGTTCGATTCAACCCATGAGGAGCCTCTCTCTTGGCTTATGGTCATAGGCAGAAGGTCGCGAGAGGGAGGGCCCTCCTGTCGCTTTCATAATTGTATTTATTTTTCAATTTCCCGCCCTTTCCTATATTTTCCATTCAAAGGTTCATCTGATCTGCTTGGCTTCTGAGACCAGAGCAGCAGGCCAGGTACCCAGCAGCCTAAACACTTGGAAACTTTGAATTATGGAAACCAAGTTTTGTTAATTCCAGAAGTTCCTTGGGGAAATAGTTTTTCCTGGGGTTGAGAAAATAATTTTCCTCTGGGTTGGCAAAACAACTTCTTAACTACCCCTCCTTTCTTTTGTTCTTTTGTTTTTGGTGGAGATCTAATCCTTTACTCTTCAGTAGCCCATTATAACTTGTAAAATGTAAAAAAGATCAATTTTACACTACTCTTAAGGATTCCTGTATCACAAAATTCTGGCGTATATTTCTAGGTTTTAACCCAAAGGTTAGACTACTTTGAATTTATTTTTCTTTTTAATGCCACTGGTCTCTTGGCTGATTGATACCTTACAAAGGACAGATAGAATTAATTTATTTGGGTCTGGAGGAAGCAAACCCAATTCAATTAATTCAAAATATTGACGCTTTCCTTCTGCTATATTGAAGTTAACAAACTGGCTACCGTGTTTAAGGATTTCGGAGAAGACTCAGGCAAGATATCCAACTGTGGATTTCGTGCCACCTGTGTGATTGATGGACCTACCTGGATGATAATCAGAAGGCAGATCCCGGCCCCCATCTCAGAGGCATCCCCGTACATCCCCGTCATGACGTACACAATGGCCTGGCCAATCGTGATAATCATTCCAAACACTGGAAGAGGAAAAACAAGAGAGTTTATGATCCTGGAGAAGAGAGTAAGAGTAGCGCAGGATGGGAGTGTGGGGTCCTTGGTGCTCTCTGAGTTTGGTGGTTTCCTTGCAGACGTTTCATAACCTGACTGGTGTCAACTCATAAAATATTTCTCTGGTTGTGTTACGAGTTGCCAACAGAAAGGGAGGGGGGAGCAGTGTGGCAGCTTGGAAACTGAAACTTCATTTCATAAATGTTTTCAAAGATAGTAACTAGGTGACTGAAGTTTCTGCCGTGCAAAATTCTAACTGGAGAGCATGACTGATGATACTTAGCTACAGATGTGTCCCATTGGAGAGTATGAAGTATAATATATCCAGAGGGTATGGAGGGAAAACCAGGGTCAAGGGTGACAATGAATGATGTGCCTCAGAGTCGGCTACACCCGGGCAGTGCTGGCATGTTAACTCCCAATAAATCCTTTTTAAGTTTTGGAAGTTTGGCTTGAGGCTCGGGATTTAAACTGCCGGAATCCTGACAACTGGGTAGCATCATCAGAGCTAGAAGGGAGTGGGGTTTGTGGAGAGGAAGAGGAGGAGGAAGGAGGAGGGAAAGGTCCTTAGTGATCTCTGAGCTTGAGTGTTTTGTGCAGATGTTTCATGGCCCAAAAAGGTAACAGCATCACTGCTAGAAAGGAGTGGTGTGATATCGCATATAAACAGAGAGGAAACCCTTCTAGCACTGAAGATATTATCGAGTTGGGCTATGAAATATCTGCAAGAAAACCACCAAAATCAGAGAGCGCCAAGGACCCCACAGTCATTCTTCTGCTCCTGCTCCTCTTCCACTCTGCAAATCCCACTCCCTCCTAACACTGAAGATGTTACGTAGCTGGGCCATGAAACATCTGCAAGAAAATCCACCAAGATCAGGGAGCACCAAGCACCCCACAATGGCTCTCTCTCGCTACAACCACACAGGCTTAAGTAGTTAATCTGCTGCATTTGCTAAGGGGAAGGTGGTTCCATCCAGGGCCCGGAATGAATGCTCACACTTCTGAGCGCCGTTGAACAGAGCTCGGTCTTTTGGCGTGTCCCCCACTTCAATGATTTTGGCTCCAGCCAGGAGCTGCATAATGAGTCCGGAGGTCACGATGGGAGAGATGCCCAACTCCATTAAAGTGCCTATAGGAGGAGGGATGGAAGGAAGAGAAACAAGGAAATGGATCTTTAATGCATCGTGTTTTGCATGGGGGAAAAAAAATCTGAATTATGTCCTTAAATATCTCATCGAGGGGCCAATTTGCGGTGTCCCTTTCCAATGAGGCTATCCCTATATCCATGGTGACGTTAAGAGGGGTGGACTTCAACTCCCAGAATGCCCCCGGCCTGGGGAATTCTGGGAGTTGAAGCCCACTCCTCTTAATTTTGCCAAAATTGAGAAACACTGCTCTAGATTTTAATTCTCCTTGCTCCTATGAGTGTTCATGGTTTTAGGTAGTCGACTTACTATAATCCGTTAAGTGGCCGTTCAAAGTTACGACGGCACTGGGAAAAAAAAGGGGGGGAACTTGGGGCTGTTTTTCATGTTTACTGACGGTTTGAGCATCCCTGGGATTAAAATACCAGACGCTTGGCAACTGGTTCGTACTTACGACCGTTGCGGTGTCCCAAGGTTGCGCGATCCCCATTTTTGCGACCCTCTGTCGAGCAAAATCCCTAGGGAAGCTGGACTCACTTAACAGCCGAGTTACTGATTTAAAAACCGTAGCGATTCGTGGTGAGGAAAGTCGCAAGACGGGGCGAAACCCCCTTAAACGGATTTCCCCAGCTGACAACATAAATGTGTGTAAGGCGAGGACCGCCTATGTTGCACTCCCACGACTTAAAATCTAAAGACGAATGAGGGTTTATTCCTGCCAAAATCTAAGCTATCAAATTTGGTAAGCGAAGGAGACGGTGGCAGATCAGAAAGGGAGCGTAGAATAAATAGAATCGGAAGGGACCTTGGAGGTCATCTAGTCCAACCCCCTGCTCAGGCAGGAAACCCTATACCATTTCAGACAAGTGGCTGTCCAGTTGCTTCTTAAAAACCTCCAGTGATAAGGAAAGAAGGAAGGAGGGAGGGAGGGAGGGAGGAAGGAAGGAAAGGAAGGAAAGAAGGAAGGGAAGGAAGGAGGGAGGGAGGAAGGAAAGGGAGGGATGGATGGATGAAGGAAAAAGAAATGGATGGAGGGATGAAGGAAGATGGATGGAGAAAGGAAGAAAGGAAGGAAAAATAGATAGATGAAGAAAAGAAGGAAGGAAAAAGAGATGGATGGAGGGATGGATGGATGAAGGAAGGAAAACAGAATAAGAGAGATGGAAGGGACTTTGGAGGTCTTCTAGTCCAACCCTTTGCTCAGGCAGGAGTCCCTACACCATTTCAGACAAGTGGTTGTCCCAAACCTCCAATGATGGGGAAGGAAGGAAGGAAGGAAGGAAGGAAGGAAGGAAGGAAGGAAGGA